CATCAAGCCACCGGGACCCGATCCAACGGCCTATGAATTCTAACTTCTGCCTATTCTTGATATAGCGCAACCGGGAGCCAATGTCTTCTGTGGGTATTTGTCCTGACACCCGACCTGCTGCACCCTACTGGTCACGACTTCCCACTGGAACCACAGGTAACTACCTACCTGAATAGGGCCAGTCGCCAGTGAGCAACTCATATTCAAGTATTGGTTTGTAGGGATTAGACTTCAGCTCGACTATGACTGTGACAATATCGGCTGATAAATCGGTACTTTGAATCTCCACAACATGAAAATGCCGAATATCATACGCAATACATCCACATGGAAGAGGTTAAAGTAGTTCGTCTAGCATTTTACGAAGTGCAGTACTACCACGTTTTCCAGTGGTTCTCTAACTGATGTCTCAGCTCATGATGAAATCCTCCAACCAATCAAACAAAAAATCCCTACGAAAACCAATACTTGAAAATTGATCTGATATTCACTAGCGACTGGTCCTATTCAAGACAGTGACCTGGGTTTCTAGTCGGAAGCAGGTACAGCAGGTTGAAGGTGAGGCAGTGACTCATCGAAGAAGAATACATTGCGAAGTTGTCGAGCTATGTTATGAATTTGCAGAAGTTAGAATTCATGGACTGGTTGGCCATTGGATCGGGTCTCAGTGGCTGCTTAATGGTCTACGAGCTAGCTCCCTTGTAACCAGAAGGTCCTGGGTTCGAACCCTGGCAATGAATGCGCACTGCTGAGGAGTCCCAAACTAGGACGAAACGGTTGTCCAGTACTTTCTGCAGGTTTTACAATGGTTCTGTAATTGGTGTCAGCTCATGATGAAATCCTCCAAACAATCAAATCTAAATTCAAGTTTAAAATAACATAAATATTCAAAGTTCGGTTTTATGATTGTATAGATTATTATTATCAGCAGTTCAGATCAAATAATGATCAAAATAAAAGCCAGTATTATAAATGATTTAAAATACTACTTAAGAATAACTTTGACGATTGTTCAAACAATAATAATAATAACCGTAGTCATAAATCTGAGTTTATATCAATTAATTAAGAACTTGAAAAGAAATTTATTCGGTTGAGTATTCTTCGCTTTGTTGATATCAACTTCTGTATGTATACATATAGTATAATATAATATAATACAATATAATATAGTATAATATCGATTATCCGGCTCTATTTGTATAGATCTATGTGTGTATGATCAATATTTAAGGTCGACTTTATCATTTATCATGAATCATTTGAGTATAGAATACAACTATTATTATTATAATTACGATATATGAGATAATATTTCTTATAATTTAATTTGAGAATTAAAAGTGGATTTATGTATGATGTTTAAATAAATGAATTTACAACTAAAACAATTCTAAAAAACCGACTATTCCATAGTAATTTGTTTATTAGACATATCATCATACAGAGTGAAGCAGTATTGCTATTGACTGGATGACAAAGTTTCGAAGACAATTTGTGTTTATTGTTCATAATCATACTAATCAATTATAACCACACACAACTTCGGGACTTTCGTTTTATAGTTCGTCGGAAGGGACATGTGTTGAATCATTCATATTACACGTATTCTCTATCAGTTGGTCTGACAAATAAGGCTTCAGTTATCAATATCTCCCTCCTCCTTGTTACATAAGATTTTAAAACTGTCATCTTATCCCATCCATCCTATTGTATGGTTGTGTGTAATTGCATGTCGTGAGTACTACAGCTGAACTCTTCTCCAGATTTCTTATCTTAGTGTCAGGCCAACTAATCTAGATTTCGCTGCTAGGTTTTGTGCTACTCTAGTCTGACTGACCCTGTTCTACTGTGGTGAGAGCTGTCTGCAAGTCAAAAATTGTAGACAGCAATTTACGTCAATGTTACATCCCGAATCAGGGTCATGGGAAGAAAAATAATAATAATTTGCTTTATTTCAAAACAGTACTTGTGATACAGAATGGAATTCTCAGCATTTTTACTACAGTATTGCTTCCAGTTAGTAAATTATCGATAAATAGAATTCTACATAGATTAAGGAAATCACAGTTCATTATTACAACAACATATTGGCATGTCGGTAGCAAAGGTAAAGCTGAAACAGTGTTTGAAGGTGTTAGAAAAGTGGGAGCTGTCATATTAACTGGAGTAAGCGAGAGAAAGAAACAAAGCAGCACATTACGGAAAAAAAGAGAGAGAGAAAGGAAAAGAAAGAAAGAAAATATTGTACCTATTAATGATGTGAGTAGGAAAGACGAGATCCAGTTGTACTACTGACTATTTAATGAATTATAGGTGTCACGCTTAATGCTTTCTTTATCACACAGAACACGAGCTAAGTAGGGTATGGTTGAGTTTTTGTACTTACTAGTGAGAGCATATAGTTTTCTATATAGGCTTCTGGTTTTGCCCTGGTGAAATACAAGGGGAGAGTTGTGAATGAATAGGGTGGTTTGAATTAGATAGAATGGATTTAGTCCATTTTCTACATGAGTTCAAGTGCCTGTCGACCAGAATATTAACAAGCTGGTTAAGTGGCACATTGCTTACCCTGATGACAACCTTTAACATCCTGCGTAATGAGGTATAATAGTCTTTCTTCAGTAGCCCGGGAAAAACTAAGGGGAACAATAGAGAATAATAGGCAGAATGCGGGAATTAACGAATTGTAGGAGTAAGGGTTGAGTTATACCAGAATATTTTAACCTCTTGATGTAGAAGGTAAGACGGGATATTTTCTTAGAAATTGCCAAGATATCAGACGACCAGGAAAGATCAGCAGATAGAATGACGCCTAGGTATTTAATTTCCGATTTGGTTTCTATTTCAGTGCCGTTTATGTTGCATACCTCGTGAGAGGCAACCAGTTTGTTTAGGTCGGATTTATGCCTAAAGGTGAAATTGACTGTTTGGCATAACAAAGACTAACCTTTGGGAACTCAACAACCAATCACAGCAAACTTAACGGGTGCAAATACGATTCGCACACATATGGCTTAACTTTCTGAGGAACTGTCACAAACGGTACAGAATAATCTTTAGCAAGAAAACAACCAATCACAAGAGGTCGCTTCTTCGCTGACAGTATTGTACATAAAAAATTTACAAATATCTGTTGATTTTCTGAATAAAAGATCTAGGCCCTCGTCTCCTGTTTTTGCACTACCTATTTGCCCTATGTATTTGACCTGAAAATCATTCCAGCAGGGTATTAGATAAACTAAATCGCTTTGTTTAATTGGTTCCACTGGTAGGATCCTTTAACCGACAAAGCTTGTTTCTAATTGAGTTTGTGGGTGGTTTGAATGCCAGCCACTTTTATTCCTGCCTTGTTAAGAATTCTCAGCCGTGAGGTGGTTTCTGAGGTTCCTTCTCTGTATGGAAGTACTACTTATGATCCGAAATTCCTTATTGTTGGTGTTGTCATTATTCTGTGCGTGTTCAACATCCATGTCGTCATTAATAGTAATAATGTTACCCAATGTAACAAGGTGGAGGGAGAGATTGATAAGGGAAGCTTTTTTTGTCGAATCAACTGAGAGAGAACACGTGTCATAGGAATGATTCAACACCTGTCCATTTGGACATCTGGAGAATCTTACTACCCTTACAACGACAAATAGGAAAGACTAAAGAAAACTGTACAATATAAGTTTCGAAGTTGTGTGTGGTTATAATTGATTGGTATGAGCATGAACAATAATGAATTGTGTTTGAAACTTTGTCATCCGATAAATAGCAATACTGTTTCACACTGTGTCTGATATATGTAATAAACAAACTAATATGGAATTACCTACTACAACAGTGTTCAAGTTTTACACATACATCGATAAAAAAGTCTATTTGTGAAATACTCAAAAAAATATTTCAAGAAATTTGATTTATTAGGCATTGCTCTTGCTCTGTGGACCAAGCACTTTAATTAGATTTTGTTTGCATAAAGCAGGAGTTCATCCATTTCCTTGATTTTTTCTGATATTCTATTTACTATTACATTTTTATACTTCTTAGATTTTATAGGCCTTTCAGGCTATACCTCAGTTAGGTAACCATTGAAAGCCAGCCAGCGAGTACTGGACAGCTCTCTTTTTCATCCTAAATTTGATGATCATCGGCCATGGTTCGAACCCAGGACCTTCCAATTACAAGGCCAGCGAGCTCGTAGACCATTAGGCAGCCACTGGGACCCGATTCAATGACCAGCCCATGAATTCTAACTACTACCAATTCGTGATTTAGCACGACTGGCACCAACCAATGTCATCGGTGGGAAATTCATCCTCACACTTGACTGGTTGTATCTCACTGGTCACGACTTCTCACTAGAACTCAAAAGAACGCCATTAACGAACATCAGATTAATTTTCAAGAGTTGGTTTCTAAGGATTAGATTTGTTTCCACGAGCTGATCACTGATTGATATCAGTTAGAGAACCATTGAAAGCGAGGGAGTACTGGACAGCTGTTTCGTCATCCTAGTTTAAGAATCATCGACAGTACGCACCCACCACCATGGTTCGAACCCAGGACCTTCAGGTTATAAGGCAAGTTCGTATACCATTCAGTCATTGGGACCCGGTTCAGTAACCCATGAATTCGATCTTTCTAATGGTTCTCTAACCGATATCGATCCGTGGTCTATCGTAAAAAAACAGAATCTCTACAAACTAATTCTCGAAAATTATATATCTTTCGTGAACTGTAATTCCAAATCGATAGTATTTTTAAAAAAACCCAATATTGTTAATGACAATTATTCCAGAATATTCCATATATATATATATATATATATATATATATATATAAACACGCATCGGCATTATATTATCGCCCCAATGAGACCCATTCAAACATCAAATTCACCATGGAATATGAACATAAAAATGAGTTCAATGTAGATAGAACAAACGAAGGTACGATCAAAAAGTCCATCTGTAGAAAAGTCTGGCAGTTAGCAAATCAATCCAGGAACCTACCGTCCTACACATATCTGGAAGTAAATTGAGTGCATCAGTGGCTTAGCGGTAGAATGCTGGCCAACAACGTATGTATTCCGGGATCGGTCTCCAGCCGACGCACTCCTCTATCTCATTAGACCGTAATAAGATCGGTAATGAGGGGATGTTTGGCGTGAGGCTAGCAACCCTACCCCGCAAAAGAAACACCACTACTACCGAAACTTCAAGTCTCTAGCTTGAAGCTTTATGTTCCACTGCAAACGTAAAGGAATAAATATGAAAAATAAATTGAGATAGGTTTCAGGATTTCATCATAAAATGACATCGGTTAGAGGACCATTGGAAAACCATACAGGGAGTACTGAATAGCTGTTTCAATTGTCTTAGTTTGGGATTCTTCAGTATTACGCATCCACCAACAAGGTTCATACCCAGGACCTCCTGGTTACAATGACAGTGAGCTCGTAGACCACTCAACCACTGGGACCCGATCCAATTGGCAGCCTATGAATTCCAACTTCTGCCAATTCATGATATGGTGCTACTACTAACTAGTTTGACATAGATGAGATCGTGTGAGGAAAGAACAACAGCTTATACGTGATCTTCGAGTCAGCTAAAAACAAGTGAAGACGACAGGATAAGGTGGAGGAAATGTACTGTCAGAGTCCTATGTTCAACTCGGAACCCAAAAGAATAATAATAATGATAATAATAATCATGAAATCAATACATCATCATTAATCTAAAATGCTTGAATTGAGCAATCTTCATTCTTTAATTTCTGAAGCATAATCATTTTCCCCCAGTGCTTCTATTAAGCTATATTTTAAACGAAAATTAAGTTCAAAATTCAATGGGAGTAAGTAAGGATACAATAAATCTGTTACTATGGTAACTAGAATAAACAAAAACAGAAAATCTATGAATTGATAGTTAAAAATTCAAAACAGTTATAATAAATAATTACTATTGTTCAATAGTGATCAGTAAACTCCATAACAGAAAGAAAAAAGGCAACAATAAAAACATGTAACCATAGATTTCATTTGTGGAATATTCTAGAAAGTATAATTTTTCATAAAAAAGCAATCAATAAGGAAAAATGATGTGAAACTTTTCATGAAATACTGCACTTTGAAAGAAGCATTTACGAAAAAAAACAGAATAAGATTTTCAATCTTACAGAAAAGCGTATGACCTTAGCTACTATACTACTCAAGAGGTGGACACCTCATCTCACATGAATAAATGGTTGGAGGGTGAGGTGTTCAACTTCATGTTTTGTGTTGGGCGAGAAGATGTGGACGATCTGATTGTTCCAGTGCCTCTTAATTCTCAGCTGGATTGTACTAATGTGGGGAGAGATGTCTGCAAGTCGAAAATTAGCAGACGGCAATTTACGTCAATACCATGCCCCGAATCGGGTTCATGAGAAAAGAAAACAGTAACAAAGACTAACCTTGAGGAACCCACCAACCAATCACAACAAACTTAACGTGTGCAAATATGATTCGCAGATATATGGCTTAACTTTCTGAGAAACGGTCACATGCAGTACAGGATAACCCTTCATCAAAAAAACAACCAATCAGATGTTGCTTCTCTGATAAAAATCTATAAATATCTCTTGATTTCTTCTATAAAGGATTTGTTTCCTGGCCCTTGTCTTCTGTCGTTACACTAAGATGAACAGCTTTCTATCCTGAGTCAGCAAGTGGTCTTTGTCTAATGATCTTAAAGTAAATCCTTTCAAATATCAGACTGTTAATTTCAGTTTTAGATGTAAAAGACAGTTAAATTGACGAGAATGATATAGAAATCAAGATAGACGTTGAGTATCTTGGACAAGTTCTTTTTTCTGATCTATCCTGGTCTTCCGACTTCTTAGCAATTTATAGGAAAATTTTCTATTTGACATTTTACATTAAGAAGTTTAGGCATTCTGGCATAACTCAATCCCTTCTCCTCTTACAGTTTGTCAACTCTTTCATCTTACCTATTCTTCTTTACTATTCACCCTTGCTTACTCTTTCCTGGATTGCTTAAAAAGACTGTGTCATACTTTGTAGGATTCTAAAGACTGTCAGTAAGGCGAGTGGTATGCCACTGGGCCATATCGTTGACATCGTCATTATTGTTAGGCACTTGATTTCAAGCAATAAATTTCTCAGACTGTTGGCACCTACTTTACCAGCAGCTTTCACACCTTGCATCCCCTCAGGTAGAACAAGAATTCATCTCAAAAGACTTTATGCACGCACGTCTAAGTATAAAACTCCACGATACCATATTTGGCAAGTATATTATGTGGTGAAAACCTTCTTTCCACTAATAAATAAACATTTTTCCCCATCCTTATCCCACTATTTGTCTTGGAATAAAACAGATTATTGGTATTGAAATGATTAGACATCGAAGAAACAGAACAACCTGGGAGATTTGTATTTCATGGAAGGTCTACATCTGGTGTCGGACAAACTTGAAGACTTACAAGTGAAAACTAACAGGTTGATAGAATTGACAGCGAGGACAGAGTTTTAGGTCAGCATAGAAAAGACAGAAGTGATGAAGATATTCAATCAATCAACCAGGTCTCGATGCAGGAAGAGATCAACCCAGATGATGAAACCTATAAAAGATGTTCAAGGGAACCTACTCACCAAGGAGGAGAAACAAATAAAACCATCGGGTGATAAATTTAAGGAACTTTTGAATCGACCATCACCTGCAACTCGTTCAGAAATACCCCCTGAACCACCAGCATGCACACGACTGCCTGCCAATGGACATCAATCCTCTAACGTAAGCAGGAACCTTGAATGAGATCAAGCTACTGAACACCGGCTGGGGAGGCAGCAGGACCAGACGGAATCCCCCCACTCTGAAGCACTGAAAACTGGCTCAGAGATTGAGGAAGATATTTTCCTGTCATTATTACAAAAGTTTTTGAAGGAAGGAAAGGTGCCTACCGATTGGAGAAAATGCTGGCTACATTGTCAAACTACCAAAGAATGGTGACTTGGGCCTCACTCTGCAAGAACCGGCGTGGAATAATGCTCTTGTCCACGCAAACTAAAGTACTAAGTCGCGTCATCCTGGAGAGAACAAAAAATGCATTGAATGCAGAACTCCATCGATAGGAATTAGTTGGATTCAGGAAAGGCAAATCATTCGAGGATCGAATCGCAATTCTTAGCATCATCATCATCGAATAAATCAGAGAATGACAGTCAAACCTTCACCTCAATTTCGTCAACTTCGAAAAGGCCTTCAACTGACAACGTTGACAGACAAGTGATTTGGAAACTGCTTCAACACTACGGCGTGCACTGCCCAAATCTTTATCGACCTCATTCAACAGCTGGTTATATGACAATGAGGCCTCGTGTCAGGTGATCCATAACGAAAAGTTCAGTGAAGCATTGGAAGTGACGAGGTGACTGCCTGTTATTACCCACGATGATACTCTTAATTGTGGTGGACTGGATTATGCATCAGACTGTGCGATAGGAGTGAGAAGACAGGAAGACGTCGAAATGACCGATAAAAAGACACTAGAAGATCTGGATTTCGTGTGTGGATGATCTATGTTTAATGTCACTCACACAACTGAAGACTTGCAGGCGAAAACCAACATACTGGCTGAAGAAGCAGCCAGGCAAGACACGACTGCAGGTGAACACAAAGAATACTGAGGTGATTAAGATAACCAATCAACCAACATCAGCAGCAACAAAACCCAGCATCAATCACCATCAACGTGAGAAATTTAACAGAAGTTACTTCCTTCACTCATCTAGGAAGCACGGTTTCAACCACAGGCGGCAGACGGCACGGATGAAGATGTGAAAGTCAAGCAGTGTCGGAAAGGAAAGATACGTCTTCATCAGTCTGAAACCGGTTTAGAAATCTTCTGTTTTCACTCAGCATAAAGAAGAAGATTCGGATATTCAACACCGGTTTTAAGTCAGTCACTTCCTCTATGTGCATCAGAAACTTGCATTGCGCACACGTCACGAAGAGCGTTCCCGACAAGCCACCGCAGACTTTTATCAGCAGCTGCCCCCTTCGCTGGCTCCATATTGGAGATCAAACGACCAGTTAGAAGGAATTAGCAACAAGAAACTCTGGGAACAAATATGTAGGAGGAAATGGAGATGGCTGCACACACGCCACCAAGGAGGCTGCCGAATGACATCGCGCTCGGTGCAGGCCATCGCTCGAGTGGAATCCCAGTGGGAAGCGGCGAGTGGGTCGTTGGTGCGTGGATGAGATAGTATGACGAGGAGGAGTAGGAGATGAGAGATTATCGGCAGTCGTGGAGTTGGGTTAAAATGACTTCAGACAACAGGATAAAATGGAGATGTGCTGTTGAAGCCCTGTGTTCCACTCGGAACATCAATTCGCCTAAATAGCTAACTAGAATTTGTCTCTCAGACTTAAGTCTAACTGGGTAGATAATCCACTGATGAGGTGGACCACAAATGAATGGAACGGTATTCCAGTGATTTCAGATCGCTTCTCCTATCTGGTGAGCAAATTTTATTGCCTATAAGAGTAATATCTAACTACTTATATCAGTCAACCAGTTAGTAGTATATAGCACCAAACAGTCTAATTTTATTGATTACTATTTAAGCAAAAAAATGAACCGATTAAGTAATGCTAGATTGTAAGGAAAGTAAATCAAAATATGTTTTAAGAGATGTGAAGATGTGCCTACTATCTCCAATGATTTTCCTGATTGCGGTAGACTGGATAATGCGACAGACAGTGGCAGGCAATGAGGAGACGGGCATAAAATGGACCCACACAAAAAAACTTGCAGGATCTGGACTTCGCCGATGACATACATGTCTGATTTCCCACAAACTGGGAAATATGCAAGTGAAAAGCAACAAGTTGGTGATAGAAGAAGCATCCAGAGAAGATAGGACTAACTTCAGGTGAACATAGAGAAAACAGAGGTAGATGATGAAGATTCCTGGCCAACAGCAACAACAACAGACAACAATCAGAATAAATGG